GGATTGCCGACATCCTGCTGAAGTCCTTCAGTTGCAAGGGGCCAGAGGCATGGGCGCAGACTGAGGATATGATGAAGATCTTCATTCCTGCTACCTTTGTTGCCAGTGAGACGGTGATCAACCCCAAGGCGGCGAAGGTCTTGCAGATCATCCACTCCATGATTCACCGCACTGACGATCTTGCAACCCGTCTGACAGAGAGTCAGACTGTGCTCCATCAGGATTATCTCACACATGACCTGAAGCACTTTCAACGGCTGAAAACCATGACCCAATTCAAGAAGCTCCAGCATGCTTGCCACAGCGCGCTGGCAGCCATCAACTTTGACACCGAGACAGCTGACAGTGCCAAAGAGTTGGAGGCTGACTTGCCAAAGCTTGAACATGAAGTGCAGGAGATCAACAGTGTTCCGGATGAAGATTTGAAGCTTGAGACCATTTGCGACCACATGGTTTTGGTGCATAGCTTGAACATCAAGTGCGCTGGTTTGCCACAGGGGCTTGAAAGCAAGCACAGACAGATCATCCAGTGGGGCCAAAGAGTAGCAGAAGAGGGGTTCTCAAATTTGTCGACCGCCCTCAGCCTGAGCCTCTGTTGCTCAAAAGTCACAGTTAGCTGTGAACCAAAGTGGAAGTCGTTGTTCAATTACTCAGTGTCGTCACTGTTTGCGCTCTAATTTGATTTTGGCCTTTACTTCTGCTGACCTGTTGAATGGAAAAGGTACAAAGCGATCATGAGAAAGAGAAGCCATTGCCGTTTTGTCCAGCCAAGGTCGCGTTACTGCGAAACTGCTTGCTGCTGTGAGAGCTTGCCTTGACACCACGACTGCGGCAGAGATTGAGGAGAATGTACGCCACGATGTGGACAAGTTCATTGGCTACATGAAGGCTGCCGACACTCCAAATGGCTCAGCAGAAGGCTTTGAGAAACTCTTTGCCGCCGCTTTCGCAGCTCTGGCTTATCAAACAAGATCCGGCTTCATGTTTGTGTATCAGGTTTTGCAGCTGATCCATCTGAAGGAAGCAAATGACAACACCAATGATCTCAGCTCTTTGAGCGCTTCAAACCTCGCCGAACTTTGCCATAGTATTGTTGACGCTGTGAGAGCCACCACAGATGATGGGAACGGATCCACATTTGGAGATGTGTTCCAAGGCTTCAAGACCACAGTGCAGCAGTTTGGCTTGAACCTTTGTGAAAGGATTGTGCCAAAGATTTTGGAGCTTGCCAACAATGCCATCAAGGAAGACCAGGATGTCAGCCAAGCGCAAGAAGCGTTGCGGGCGATTGGAGATGTCATTCCTGTTGGAGAGGAAATGAAGAGCCAAGTCACCGCATTCATGAACAGTTGCGAGAAGTCTCTCAAGCCGAAAGTCGGAAGCCTCACTGCAGTCGAGTTGCAGTGCTGGGTCTCTGTCATGGGGAAGGTGGAGCAACTCAAGTCTGTGGTTCCATCTTGGCCGCTATTGCCACAGCTAGGCAAAGTGAGCTTGGAGTCCGCAAAGGCTTCTCTTGAGGCTATTGCCACTGTTGAGTTGGGGAAGGCGTACGCCGGGCTACGTGATGGGTGGACTTCCGCAAAGAAGCAAAGCACAGAGGTGTTCGAGAAGATCTTTGGGCAGGAAGAACAAGAGAAGGTTGAGGATGCGCTCAAAACGGCAAGGATCTTGCTGGCCTGCCAATCAGGTTTGGGGTTTGATTTGGGTTTTGATTTAGTTACGGTTAAGGTGTGTCCACCTTCCTTTGAGTCTAAATGGTGCATTCCTGGTCGAATACATTTTACAATTCCAGATTCAACGGCGTGAAGTAGGGCGAGTCGTGACAACATCAATCGTTTCACAAGTTTACATGTCACACAGGGACTGTCTTCTTGTTGTGGTTGCCGCATTTGACTCACTGCTGGCGCCGCCACAGGAATGCACGTTGTTTCTTTAGGGAACTGTGAGAAAGTCGAGGCCTTTGAGAACAAGCTTGGTGATCGAGAAATCTCACTTGGCGACTTGCCCGACAACATCCGCCAAGCCCTGCAGGAACTGAAGAATTCGAAAGGCACACCGGCTCAGGATCAGGTTTGAATCGTGCGCTGTGAATATGTGTTGGTGCGCTAGCTAATCAGGCTAGGGCCTAAGGCTAGCCTGCTTGTACTTGATACTTGGTACTGTGAACTGTGTTTGCTTTGTAGAAACATGTAACAAAGCATAAAGCAGCAGTGTTGTCTTCTGTTCTTCCAATTGTCATTGTGGCCAATCTTTTGCTTACTCGGCCCTGTCGCTACATGGATGTCCTTGCCCTGCGGCGGTGTTTGTTTGAAAGAAACAAGCGCCAGTTGTGGTGTGACAGAATGGTTGCGGCAGATGGCTGGTAGGCGTTGGTCGATGCCAGCGGATTCAGATTCAAACCAATCAGACTTCATTTCACCTTTGCAACACTCGACAAAGGGACAAGCCAGAAGTGTTTGAATGATCTTGTCCTTGATGGTGGGTCAATGATTCCGTGGACTGGACTGGCTAAGACTTTCCAGAAGGAACATCACCATGACCATAAGACTACCTGGTTCATTTGGTGATTGATGTTATGGAAGATGGAATACAATTATTGTTTTTGATGTGTTTATACATACATATGATATGTGCCCACCTTTGCGTGTTCCCCTAGCTCCCGAGCGGACCTTTGCTGCTTGTGGAACACTGGACCAGCCAGTGGCATAGTGGCAAGGGGCCGGGGAGACATACCAGGCCACAAGGGTTGTGAGCCAGAGAAGAGGAGCGAAAACAAACAAAAGACTTTTGACTTTTGGCTTCAGTAATTCTGTCGAGCATTTCATTCTGCTTGCTTGTCGGCATTCATTACCAACCATCAACTAGGCCGACTAAGCTTGGCAAGTTGTTTCAAGCGCTGAGCAAGCTGGCCACCGGCCGGGTTCATTTGGAGTGAGAGGCGGGCTCAAACTAAATCCAGGCAGGAATCATGATGTAGTTTGCGGCTGGAAGCATGGACTTCGACTTCCAAGACCCCCCTGGATTGCCTAGAGGCCTGAGGGCCTGGAAGCATTTCCCCTGCTGTCACGCACCAGTCACCATTCCAATTCATGATTTTTTTCTCCAGCGTCTAGCCAAAGACTAAAGATCACAGGTCACAGATCCTCTTTTCTCCACCTGTCAGGTCACTGCACATGGTCATAGTCTTTGTGGCCAACAGCCCGGCATGGAGGCATTCTTGTTCGCTGGTGAACCTTTTGGGGCTTTGGGCGAGATTCAAGTTGGTTGGTGCATGATTGGCAAACATGACTAGTTTAGTTTGTTGTGTCCAGGCAGCTTCATCACAGCCAGCGGCGCACGAGGCTTATCTTTTGCAGGCTGAGTCACTCTTCTTAGCCCTATCACCCTATCCCATTCAATCCGTATAGCCTGTTTCTGGGAGATTCTGGGAGGACCCGCTGGACTGGATGGACGACATCCTTCCTGTTGATCTGTCTCTGCGTGTGCAGGCTTCCAGTCAATTGAATTGGAAATTGAAAGGTCTCCAAAGACTTTGAGCGATTGTTGCTGCAAGGCTGACCTTGCCAGTAGCGACGCATTGAGGGATGCAGTTGCACAAAACACAGGTCAGATCCCAAGATCCACAACCGGATGAAGAAAAACAACTTGACTTGACTGGACTTGACTTGACTTGGCTAGAGGATGGATGATGGGCGCTGCATTTTTTGGGTGTGTGCTGCATGATGCATGTGTGTCTTTGTTTTCGTTTTCAGCCCGGCCCAGTCACGCTCTAGTTTTCAGCGTTCATCTGCTAGGAGGTGATGAGGGCCCCGCATGCCAATTGACAAATGCAAATGCAGATGGACGCTCAGAGGTCAGCTGTGGCACTGCGAGTGTTGCTTCACTTTGTTTGTGTCTTGGTCTGTTCCCGAAACCTGTGCTGTCGCGGCTACTGTTGTAGCTACTGTACTGTATATCATATACAGTCTAATTTTGTGCAGCATGCAGCATGCAGGATCCTTTTGTTAGAGTCAAGCTGTCAGGCAGTCACAGAGGACTTGGCTGCCTTGACAGAACGCGCGTCAACACACTGCGACAAAGATGTGCAGACTGAACTTGCGGCTGACGCCCTAGTTTCACATATGCCGCGTGGAGTTTGGCTCGCTAACACCAAAACATGAGGTCAAGGCGGGACTTGACCTCGACAGGGAAGAGGTCTTGTTTGACTCTGACCATGATCATGGCCATGGCGATCTGATGAGAATGGAAGGTCGGTTCTTTTAGTCTTCATGCTCAACGCAACTGTCCAGTTTCAAGTGAGCCCTGAACATGTGCACATGAGAAACAGAATCACTGACAGGTGGCGGTGACGATGCCAAGCCACCAGCAAGAAAACGGTTCCGCTTGTGGTCAAAGACTCCTTCCCAATTTTGGGACGGTGTCGTACCCCCTGCCGAGATAGCTGCCACCCAAGACGGCCTTGAGTGGGTGGATGCGGTGATCAGCGAAATTGGTGAAGATTTAAACAAACAATTGGCCGGCCGTTCGCTTTCATACGGCAGTGATTGCTCTGGGATCGATGCGCCTTTCTGGGGGGTTGCGGCATTTGCTCAACTCGCTGCAGGCAGGGGAATGGCCGATGGCTTGTTCATCATCTGTTTGTCAGTGAGTCAGTCAGATTTGGATTCAGGTTTATGATCTTGCTTTTGTGGATTTAGCTGTGTTCGTTTATTTGTTGAGGATTCTAGACTAGGCCTAGGCCAAGGCCAAGGCTTGTTTTTGCAAGTGCTTTTCAGGTGCCAGTGGAGTTGAAGCACGCCTTCGCTTCAGAAGCTCCAGGAAGGCAAGGGTTGAACCAAAAGCATATGCTTCATTGCAACGTCAACCCTGGCATCATCTTCGATGATCTTCTAGTCAGCCACCAAGTTCTGGGAATTTTAGTTTGCAGGCCACCCCACAAATATAATGAGCTTTGATAGCTTGCACCCCACTGGCAAAAATCAAGTCTACAGCCTACCAAGGCCAGGTCCGTGAAGGAAGGTGAGGACTGGATATCTGGTGCCAAAGCGAAAACTCCAAAAGTAGATTTCTACACTGGAGGATTCGAATGTCAGGCAGGAAGTTCTGAAAAAGACACGACTAGAGTAGACTAGAACACTGATGTGATGTACTGTGTACTGTACTGTGTTGTGATTCATTGATTCGTTATGAGTTATGATTCTATGATGATGATTCAAACGACTTGTTCAGTCTGCAGTCTGCAGGACATCTCCTGCATGAACAACTCACGAAAGCCTTTGGATCTGCAAATCAATGAAGCGTGTTTGACTGAGCTCTCACTTTTCATTGTGGTTCAAAGTTCAGTCACAGTCCAGAGATTTTTCAGTGAGACACAAGGATGGACCACGCGCCAGGTCAGGAATGTCGTCCCGTACACTGGCCAAATCTCTCGAGTACATTCGACATCACCGTCCGGTTCCTTGCATGCGGTTGTGGGAGCGACGTGTGCGGTTTACGGTTTGAGGCAGTTTTCAAGCTTGCATTTCTACTCCTGATGTTTTCACATGTTACACGTTCCTGTTCGCTCGCTAAGATTTGAAGCTGTCAGGCGTATGTGATACTGGAAAATGTGGCCAACAAAGGGACAGAGAGAATTTTATCTCTGGAGCTTCGAAAGCTGAGCTACGTCACGCAAGGGCTCTTCATCAATTCATGCAGCTTTGGGTTGCCCCAGAGCCGCACGCGGTTGTACATGTTGGCAGTCGATCCCTACCAGGTGGATCTGATTGGTGGCCCTTCTGATTGGATCCAAGCGCTGAAGGACCTCATACTGTAGATTTTTGAAGTAATGATTAATTTGCGGAGCTTAACATTTTGACTTTGACAGGACATATCGCAAAAACTGCAGAGGATGGATTTTGGCAGTTGCTTTGCCGAACTGTGAGTGCAACTTGCTTTTGAGGCATCTGATGGGGGGGGTCTTGACTCCTCGCAATTTCTCAGGCTTGATGCTGCCAGAGGACGACCCAGCAGTGCAGGCCTTCCTGTTGGCGTTGGAATCCTCCAACCAAAAGCGGCGCAAGTCAGAGGAGGACCTTCTACAAAACATGGCTGAGGGCCTGTCTTGGCCAAAGTGTCATGAGAAACACGCAGAATGCAAAAGACACCTGGCAGACGCCCTTGGAACCCTTGCTGCTTCTCCAGAAATTCTAACACATTACAGTTGTAGCCTGTAGCCTGTAGCTTTGTAAGTAATTACATGTTGTGGCGCTGCCACTGCCAGTTCTTGCGGGTTGCAAACCATGGACATTTTCTACGGTTTTCTTTGATGATGAACTGCCTACAATACCAACAGCCACAATCTCAGGTTCCAGATTCGGCCTCACTGTACCGACAGTACTCCAACAAATGGAGCAAGTGCTTACCGGCTCGCGAACAAGATTTGCTATATTTGCACCTTTGGGTGTTCCTCAGCTTCAAAGTGCACCACTCGGAGCTGCAGTGCGCAAACTGTTAAATTGCACATAGATTTAGACTGTTGTGTAACAACGTGAGTGGACCGTGGACTAGACTAGACTGGACGTTGTTATCATGTTTGATAAGTTTGACTTTGTTGCAATTCTGGGTTGTGTTCAGGCTTGACACGGTGGTTCTGAAAGGGGGAGCGCGACCGAACCTGATATGGGACCTCACCAACAACATCTCGTATTCGTGCTGGAAGGGAGGTGACTACAGTGGTGTGTTGCCGTGCTTGCTAAGAGGACACCGCTACTGGTCTGTGGCCCATGCACGTCCAGTGTCGGGTCTGGAGCTTCTACGTGGACAAGGATTTGTGGGGAAGATCACGACAGAAGGGACCATCCATGGAAAAACATTCCTTGTCCCAGTTTCTTGTTTCTTGCGTATTACTATTACCGTATTACTGTCTGTGACAATTTGTCACATGACACTTGACATTTTCTTTGGTTTCTGTCCTGTGAGTTAACGCTTCCAAAAACTTAGCTGTTTTTTTGTTGTGCTGTTGTCGCTTTGCCATGACCGGTTCTTGGATGGCAATCCAAGGACATTGAGCTGAACAAAATAGCAGGAAACACAATAAGTGTTCCTGTGGTGGGCGCCATTGGTGCGGTGCTGCTGGCGAAGACAGTCCGCAAGGAGGTCAAACGAGTACCGCGGCCACTTTGTGTGGAGAAGGTGGTTGCTGGCACTGCGCTGGTGTGGATTGGAGATCCTCGGGCTGTCACGGTTCCTGCCAATGAGTGGGATTGCTTGATGCCAAAGGAAACGGCTCCAAAGAAAAGGCCTGCTTCTTTGGGAAGACCTGCATCGGCAAAAAAAATGCCGACAAACAAAGTTGGATTCTTACCTGGTCAAAGCCCGCCTGTGAAATATGGGAGGGTGACGGCGCAAACAGTCTCAAGTTTGGAGAGAAAAAGAAATGCGCCCGGTGGATCGGGCCATGGCCAATTTCTCTTTAGTAACGCAAATCAAACAGCTGAGCAAACTAAAGCAAATGGTTTCGAATGTGTGCGGTTTGCGTGGGTTCTGGGTTTCCACACGTGTTGTTTTTCAATTTTTTCAGTCATGATCATTTTTTTGCATGTTTTTTTCGTATTTTTTTAATCCCTCTTTCTCTGTGTCCTCCTTATAGGTCCTACCCCACTACCGTTTGCCTTGCCTATCTATATCATTGTGCTTCCTACTGTTACCTTTTGCCTTGCTAACCTTTTAGTATCCTATCGTATTAGTTTCTTCCTGTTCTTCATTCGGGCCCCGAATCCGGTTTCGGGGCCCGAATCCACAGTCAAGACACCTCATTCTGTATCCTATCGTCCTGTTCTTCATTCCGGCCCGGAATCCAGTTTCGGGCCCCGAATCCGGTTTCGGGGCTCGAACCCACAGTCAAGTTACCCCTTACCTGGCTAACCTTTTAGTATCCTATCGTCTTAGTTTCTTCCTGTTTTCCATTCGGGCCCCGAATCCACTTTCGAGATGGCTCCTCGAGATCTTTTGGCTGACTGGTTCTCCTGAAGAAAAAAGTGCTGCATTTTGCGCTTAAGCTGTTGGGGATATTCTTTGGGCTTATTTTAATCCCTCTGTCTCTGTGTCCTCCTTATAGGTCCTACCCCACTACCATTTGGCAGCAACACCCTGCAGAGCGGCGCAGCGGCACCCTCCAGCGAGGCCCAAGCTCCAAAGCGCACACACGGC